GTTTGAGATGGTGGTCCAGCTGTAGTGGTTTGAGATGGTGGAGCTGTGTTTGGCGTTTGTGACTGCATCGTGGTTGAAGGTTTTGGTCCAGCTGTTGTTGAAGGTTGTTGTTTAGCTGTGGTGGTTGAAGGTTGTGGTGCGCTTGTTGTTTGGGACTCGAGTGGAGTTGTGGTCTGAGGTTTTGATGTAGTTGTTGTTGGAGGATGTGAAGTGCTTGTTGTTTGTGACTCAGATGGAGCTGTTGTTGGCAGTTTTGGCTGCGTTGTGGTTGGAGGCTGTGGTTGAACTGTGGTTGTTAGTTGAGGTGTAACTGTTGTTTGTGGTTGTGATGTAGTGGTTGGAGTTTGTGGTCTATTTGTTGTTTGTGACTCGGCAGTGGTTTGAGGATGTGGTCTAGCTGTGCTTGGAGGTAGTGGTGCAGCTGTTGTGTGTGACTGTGGTTGAGTCGTGGTTGAAGGTTGTGGTTTTTCTGTGGTTTCAAGTTCTGGCTGTTCTGTTGTTTCAACTTCTGTGTGTTCTGTGGTTGTGGTTTGTGGTCTAGATGATGTGTGTGGCTTTGGTTGAGTTGTGGTTGAAGGTTGTGGTCTTACTGTGGTTTCAGATACTGGCTGTTCTGAAGTTTCAACTTCTGTGCCCTCTGTGGTTTTTGGGTGTGGTGTAGCTGTGGTTTTGTGTCCAGTTGCAGCTGTTGTTATTGGCCTTGATGTTATTGGTAGCTGTGGTCCTGTTGTTGTTGGAATATCAGGTCTCGTGGTCATTGGGTCATCAGGATTTGAAGTTGCTGTTGTTATGGTGGTTGTTGTCATAAATTTAGTTGTTGATGGTGGTTGTGGTTTTGATGAAGTTGTTGTTGGTTGTTGTGTGGCTGATGAGCTGATGGTTGGAGGGAGCTCAGGAGCAGGGGTTTTTGGTTCAGTCAAGTCTGAAACAATTCACAGTGAAGTCAGTAACGATCAGTAAGTTTTTAGTTTTACTGTTTTAGGACTACTCTGAATGTCAGGACAGAATCACCTGCACAAGGTCCACGATGAATTGATACGTCATCTACAGCCACATCAGACTGATCATTGGAACCTCTTCGCCCTTCAACAATTATCTAAAAGTTGGTGCACAGGTTAATACTTAAGTATGTCTGTTACAGAAAACCCATGCATTAGCAATTTTGAGGGAGTTAAACATGTTTTAATAAGTAACTTGCCTGGAAAGTTCCAGTTGTAGTGAAGTCCACCTGAGCCAAGTGCCACATATTTCCTTGGTCATTCCTCTTCCACCAGACACCCTTAGCCAGTCGGCCTTGTAGCAGGTAAACATGGAGGCCCATTGTATCTGCTGAGCCGTACATATGGTACCAGAACTGCAGACACTGAGGACCACTGTCAGAACACTCAGAGCTGATGAGGCGAGCTGTATCTCCATGTGTTGCGCTGTTGGCCTCAATGTACAGGTAGTGACCAGCTATATGAGAGTTAAGAAGAAACCAAATTTCTCAGAGAGACTTACCATGGTCAGAATAATCTGTACCACAGTTTATTGTTGTCACATTTTAGATTGTAACACAAATAAATTGTATTACCACCAGTGTGGTCAGTAGAGGGCCCTGTCATCAGGCTGGGTGTGGTACCATTCTGCCATGTCCAGTCAAAAACATCAGTAAGCATCTGATTCCAGCTACAAAGATTGCTGTCAAAGCTACAGTCGATGTTACAGACTGCACAAATTAAGAAAAAAAAATAACATGAAGTAGGTATTGTTGCTTACACAAATTACTAAAAACTTCTGTAACACTCGATCACAGTCAAAAACTGCATATTCAGTATTTTTTGGACTAGACATTAACATTAATTGGTAACCAAAATTCAGCTTGTCTGAAACAACTGACCCATAAAATATAGCTTCCTGTGTGCTTACCTGGGTGTGATGGGAGAACTTCCGCAGTTGTGGAAGGAAGCTCAGTTCCATCAACCAGGCTAGGGAATCTGCCTAAAGTAAATAATTGACTTTGTTCAAAACCTGAGATATCACTAATTATAAATTGAGACCTTGATGTTTT